TTCAATTTTCATAGCGAAAATATAAAACAGATATTGGACATTTTAAAAAAATATTTATCTATATATTTGAATTCATATCTTTTTTTTTACTGAAACAAATAATTTATTGACAAAAGATATGCGAATACATTGGGAGGGAGGAGGGATACCGTAAAGCTTGAATCATGATGAGCCTCCAATAGCCCTCCTTTACAATTCTATAGGGGTTCGAAAAACCAGTTTGAATGCTTCTTAGGTTCAAAATCATGTTTTGCTGATTAACATTAATTAAGAGTTTGAATTTCAAATTTAAACTATCACTTTTTAATTTGAGAAACACATATCTTTCTTTTATACCACTTTATCATGGTATTTGTAATACACTCTCTCTTTTATTATAAAAAATTTTGACATCACATTCCACATGGATAAAATACTGAGAAAAAATAAATAAATTATTACTATTAGTTAAAATTAAAGAATAGGAAACTATTATTAAAAAAATATATTTTTTCTTTATAAAATAAAATGTAAAATTTTTTTTTTACCCCAAGTTTTTTATTTTGTTTAAATTTCTTTTATAAAAGTATTTTATTTTTTATTTCATCTCCTCCCCCTCCTCAAAATTAATTTAGATATTTTTTCCTTAAAAAAAATAATTCTACTCATCTCCCTTAATCCTCTGCTTCCAAATTTCTTTTCCAGTGTTTAGATATACATATTGAAAATACTTTTGCCGTCAGAAGACTTTTTTTAATTTTTTACTTATTTATGTTATATTTGGTACACTAGTAGAAATTTTTTTCTAAAATACGTGCATATTTAATACAAAATGAAAAAAAATATTTAAAAATAAAAATTAGGAGCGGAGGATTAAATAGGATGGGGTAATTTTTTTAAAAAAAATAAAACAATATCAATTTCTTTCGAGGGGGTTGAGTGGGTGATTTTTTTTCGGAGAGGAGGAGGGGTACGTGGAGGAGGTGGTGGAGAGGGGTAAGAAAAATAATTTAACTTTTATATGAATAGTAATACTTTGATCTTTAATTTTTAATTAATATTATTTAATTTTTATCTAGGTAAAATATTTTATATATGTGGAATGTCATGTGTCAAGGTTTTTTCAAATTAAAGAGAGAGTGCATTACACACACCACTGAGGTATGTTTCTCAAATTAAAAAGTGATAGTTCAGATATGAAATTCACACTCTCAAATCTCAATTGTTTAGGGTTGAAATTCAAAAAAAGTGAATAGTTTAGGTGTATATATATAATAACAATTTTTTTTTCCATTTTTTAGTTAAAAGATATTGAAGTTAAAATGGTAAAATGTTCAAAAAGGTAAAATAATATAAGTAAAATGTTATTCTGGCTATATTTTCTGGCCAAATAATATATATATGTGTGTGCGGGTGCGGGTGCGGTTGTGCGTGTGTGATTCGCATATGTAATCTAGCGATTATTTTAAAAACAATTACTCCTCATTTCTTTTTAGTTGTCATAGTTTTTTCTTTTTAGAGTCAGACGATATAAATTTTGATTAATATCTTAATATATATTTTTTCATCATATTGATATGAAAAAAGTTGTTTATAGTACTTTATTATAGTTTTTGGATATCTAAAAAAAATATTCTAAAATATCGAATTAATATAGTCCAATTTAGCTTTGAGAATTAGTCAAATTAATTCTAAAAAAGTCGTCATATGACAACTAAAAAAGAACGACACGGTAATAAGTAATAACTAAAGTTTTTTTTAATATTCACTTTATCCAACAATAGTTATTCACTATTGACTTGACACATACCTTAAGAAATAATAAATAATATGAATAGTATTATTACATTACCCTTTATATATATTAAAGGGAAAATACCCAAGTACCCCCTCAACCTATGTCCGAAATCCCAAAGACACACTTATACTATACTAAGGTCCTATTACCCCCCTAAACTTATTTTATGTGTAATTTTCTACCCCTTTTTAGCCTACGTGGCACTAGTTCGAAAAAAAAGTCAACCATTGTTGGACCCACAAGATAGTGCCACGTAAGCTAAAAAGGGGTAAAAAATTATTAATAAAATAAGTTCAGGGGGGTAATAGGACCTTAGTATAGTATAAGTGTGTCTCTGAGATTTCGGGCATAGGTTGAGGGGTACTTGGGCATTATCCCTATATTAAATTTGATACTTTGAGAAATATATTAGATATCAAATAGTTATATTTAATTTCAAAGATAAAATAGAAAAAAAATTATGTCTAAGGTGAATAAGTTTATTGGATAACTATGGTAATGCTGAACTGCCAGAAAATTTGGCTATACATTGAAAAATTCTATTATATCTTTTTAAATTTTAAAATAAACTGATCTTTTTTCAACTTTTTGATTAAAAAGTAAAAATGTGCAAAAATAAATACAATAACATAGTGTTAAATATATTATCTAATCATTTTGATCAAATTCTAACTAAATTTTTTGACTAATTTCTTTTTCCATTTCTAATATAATAAATAAATAAATAAAGATAAATAGAGTATAAAAGTTCTCCTTTATAAATATATACATAAAAAATATAATAGAAACATGAAGGTCCCCTACCCTTGTATACAACAAGGAAAACAAATTCTGGGAACAGTAACCAAATTACTTAATTATGAGTATATGGTCAATGTCTTATCTGCCAGCAATTGCTTGATACAACCTGTTAATAACTACTTCCTCCCTCTAACTCATTTTTTCATTTTTTTAAAATCAAATTGATAATCATTAAAACTTAATTGAATCAGATCAATTCAACATTTTAAAATTTTGATAATTAAAACTATACTAAAAGTCCATATTAAAACTATACTAAAAGTCCATAAGTCCATGTTCAATTTTTTTTTGAAAATTAAACAGTTTTTCCGCATTTTTTTATTAAAATCAAATCTCAATTATGACTCAAATCTAATGTATATCCTTACATTATCTAAGTGAACTTAAAACATCCTTATATTATCCAAAATATAACAAGAATCAACCTTCAGTCTATTTTTGTTAAAAAACTAATTGAACCAATAAAAATAATAATTTGATCATGTGTTAGCAACAAAAGAGAAGATACAAGTACCTTCAAAAAAAAAAAGTACCTTAAAAAATATGGATATGAATTGAAAATGATTATTTCATTGTCATAATTTAATTTTTTTGCGTTTTTAATTTATATGTTTTTTGCATCATCAAGTAAATTGACTTGCAACAATACATAAGTTTTGAAATATTTATATATTAGATTACGATGATTAGAGAGATTATGTAAAAAAAAATTATTTTAAAAATATTATGTTCAACTAATTAGAGACTTTCTTTAATAAAATATTTAGTATGTGTACTATATGTATATAATAAAATTCACATTTTATACAATGTAAAAAAATACTGAAAATTTAGTGAAATTACGTAGGCATTTGGTTATGAAAATTAAAAAATAATAATTACTTTTGTTTGAAAATTTTAAAGTTGGAGCTGTATTTGGCTATACTTTTTACAAAGAATATTCAGAATTTGAATATATTTTGTCTTAATATGATTTAAACTTTCAATTTCTAAAAGTTCGACTTGACACATTTTTTTGATTGCTTGAGCTTTTAAAAAAAATAGAGAGAAGGATTGCAACTTTTTGAATAATTTAAGGATATTTTTTGTTCAATTATGTAACACAAGGATGTACTTTAAATTTATGTCATACTTCAAGAATGATTTTAGCCAAAAACTCTAATTTGTACAATTTATATGAAACCTTAATCTAACTGTTTCAATTTTGAGAAAACGTCAAACAAGTAGCAAAGTAATAATGAATTGATGTGGACATATGTCAAAAGCATATTTGCATATGAGAATATATGTGAGTTGTCCTGGCTCCTACATATAATTTCTGATACAACTTGAGGAGCAGGTGAGTTTTTCTATTTTTCAATTCCAATAATACCAACCATAAAAGCACAAAACAATTAAACTGATCAAGAAAATGATAAAACACAAAGATTTCGTTTATTTATGTGTGCGAAAAACAAATAAGTAATATATATATATATATTTTTTGGAGAGAGAGTTAAATATATATCTAAGAATTCACGTAAAACATCTAAATTCAGGATTAATCATGTTACATATGTATATGGGGAAAAAATACAAGTCTTTTGTTGTTGTTGGTAAAATGGAAAAATAAAAAATTAATAAAAGTTCTTAAAGTGTCCATAAACAACCGGACTTAAATCTACTAAAACAAATTTTATGTCATTTATTAAGTGCATTCATTGTAACAAAATTAACTTTTAGGGGTAATAATATGCATATTAAAAAAGAGTAAAATATTTATCGCATTAGTGTATCATTGGACGCAATATCCTTATTAGCTTTAGAGATATTTACAAAAACTGTTAATTACGTCTACAAAAATATACAGTGATAATTAAGTTGTTACCATTGACGACTTATTATCGCTAACGATCACAAGTAATTATAGAGTATTAGAGACTCTTCATATTTGTAGCTATCATTTACTAGAAAATCGACACACTTCGGACCTGTTTGGATTGACTTTTGACTTGTGACTTATAAGCCACAAATCATAAATTAGAATTTTTAACTTATGACTTTTGACTTATTTTTTTTATTTTGGCTTTAAAATAATTGTTAATAAGCATTTTTTAACTTATGCAAACATTTCAAAACTGCTTAAAAGTTATTTTAGCTTAAAAGCACTTAAAATAAGTCAATCCAAACGGACTTAATCGTAACCTTATTTAAAATGAAGGATACTAGTGGGAGTATTTATGCATGGAAGAGGGAAGATGGCCAAACAAAATATGAATATTTATTACCGAAAGAGTACGACAGACTAACTATTTAATTAATCAATCAACCAAACAAACAAATAGGAAAAACTAACATAAGCACATGTTAGTTAGCTTTGTTCAATGCCTAGTGCCTATAAATTTCCTTTAGGAGTTGATGTGTGTATAACACAAACATAGGAAAAAAAAACTAGTTTCTATCTATTTGAAGATAAGAAACAAAATGGCTACATTTGTGTATTTGTGTCCTTTAATATTGATGTGTATGTTAGTGTCTAGCAATGCTCAATTACAGCAAAACTTCTATGCCAAGAGTTGTCCAAAAGCAGAGAAGATCATTTTAGAGTATGTCCATAAACACATTCCAAATGCTCCATCTCTTGCTGCTGCCTTAATCAGAATGCATTTCCATGATTGCTTTGTCAGGGTACGTAATACGTAATTATTAATTACATCTGTTGTTTCAATTTATATGTCTTACTTTGTCAGGATGAGAATCAATTAATTGTTTTTGTGGTGATTGTAGGGATGTGATGCATCTGTGCTCTTGAATTTCACTTCAAGTACAGGAAACCAAACTGAAAAAGTTGGTGCTCCAAATTTAACACTTAGAGGTTTCTCATTCATTGATAATGTGAAGAAAATCATTGAAGATGAATGCCCTGGAGTTGTCTCTTGTGCTGATATTGTTGCCTTAGTTGCTAGAGACTCTGTTGTCGTCACAGTAAGACAACAACTTGAACTTTACAATTTTTTTTTTTTTATGTATGACTATTTTAATTATACATATTTTTGGGGATGATATACAGGGAGGTCCTTCATGGAGTGTACCAACAGGAAGAAGAGATGGAAGAATCTCTAATGCTTCAGAAACCTTAACAGACATTCCAGCTCCAACTAGTAACTTTTCAACTCTCCAAAATGATTTTGCTAAGAAGGGTCTTGACCTTAAAGACTTGGTCCTATTATCTGGTAAAGTCAAAATTATTACGTTTTCCGTTTCATTTTATATGACAAGTTTGACTCAGTATGAAATTTCAAGTCTTAACAATAATATTTCAGGTGCTCACACTATTGGAATCTCTCATTGCTCGTCATTTTCAACGCGTTTGTACAATTTTACTGGAACTTTTGGTACTGAAGATCCATCTCTAGACAGTGAATATGCAGCTAACCTTAAGGCAAATAAATGCAAATCAATTAACGATAACACAACCATAGTTGAAATGGACCCAGGGAGTTTCAGGACATTTGATCTTAGCTATTACAAGCTTTTACTCAAAAGGAGAGGACTCTTCCAATCCGATGCAGCCCTAACAACAAGTACAACAACAAAGACATACATTGAACAACTTGTCGCGGGATCACTTAAAGAGTTTTATGCTGAATTTGCTCAATCAATGGAGAAAATGGGAAGAATTGAAGTTAAAACACGTTCTGATGGTGAAATTAGGAAGCATTGTGCTGTTGTGAATAGTTAAGACGAGTCTTTGGTTTGGGGCAATATGTATCCTTAATGATACATAATGTTTCTTTTGCGTTTTTTTTCCATCATGTATGTTGATATTCCTTTTGTAATCATTTCGATTTTTGTTCTACTTCGTGACTTGATGATTGTTTAAATATATGTTGAATGTATATGTAATTTCTTACATATGCTTAAATCTATTTTTTAATTAAACACATGAACTAAATCACTTAGCATACATATACAAGACAATAAAATCTAAAACATTCAAAAGACATTTTTTATAAATAGTTATTTGATAAAAGCAACAGAAGTCTAACATAAGTATCTCTAAGCCATCTATAACATTATAAGGGTGATTGGAATGTAACTCATATATCATATAATCAATCTGAATTTAAGAATTTTGATCCTCAAAATATGAGTGAGTATGGAAAGTAAGAGAGTTGAATCCTATATTGGTGAAATAATGTACATAAAATATATCAAATATAGTATCAGTGCATGAAAATTATAATATCGTGCTAAAAAAAATTGTAATTAGAGATTAAGAGAGCACTATATATATTTGTAGTTCCTTTGTCATTTATGTATACAAGCGTCCAGACAGTTTTGACGTCACACATAGGAGAAAGTGACTTGTGCCCCACCAAGTTTATCTGTAGTGTTTTTATTCATTATTAAATTTGATAAATTGTATATGTTCATAATAAAGGAAAATAATAATTTTATCAAGTATTATAATATTTTAAATAAATAAATAAATTTATTGAAACTTGGTAAAAGTTAAGCGGAGTGGATTATGACTCTTTTTACTTAAATAAATTTGGGTTAGTTCTTAATCCCTCATGATGCATTTAAATTTGATGTGGATCAATTTGTTCAATTGACACCTCTAATTATATATACTATGTGAAATAATTAATTATTACTATTGTTGATCGTAAATTTTATAAAATTATATTTATTTAAAAGTTTATAATTGTAACTATTCATTTATAAAAGAAAATGAAGATATGTGATTTGTCGGTGCAGCGTTGTAGGATATTTTGTATCTTAACATAAACTTTGATTTGTTCATTTGGTAAAATCGTATAAGGATTGAGATTTTTTTTATAGCTTTCATAACTTGTAGAGTTTTTATATTTATGAGAAAAATACGATTGAAACTTTTCAAATTACATATTTAAATAAAACTTTAACTTTAAATAAGTTTAATTTCAAATCATAACTAGCAAATATCCAAACAGTATAGTATTCTATTAATCTCAACTTATTATTTTCTTTTATTGGCCTTTTGTATTAAGTAAGTGGTGACGTATAGTTATAAATCAACCATGTTCTCATAAATAATTGGACTAATAATGCAAAGTTTATTTCTATGGGATTTACATAAAGAAAAGTGTGGAACAGAGATTGTCCATGCATGTGTTGGGTCAATAATATTCTAAAAAGATTCTTTGACAATAATAGCCCCCTGTCACATTTTGTTTCTTTCTTTTTCCCAACTTATTAATTTGCGGTGTCTTTTTTTTTTTTTGAAAAATATGATGATTATGAATTAGTATATGGTATACCATTATAGGTATAGCATCCAACTTGAAGAAACCTTACCCCAGAACACGAATCAGGTTCGTGTAAGTTGCTTTTAAGTAAAGACAGAGTAAAGACACTAACACTTATTGAATTAAAAACCTTCCTCACTCAAGGAAGAAAAAACCTCGTTTTATTAATTCAACTATAAGATTTTGTGATTACAACTCAATAATCAAAAGTCTTATCTCTACTACTCCCTCGGTTGACTCCAATCGATCTCTCCGAAAGGCCAAACCCATCTTTTGTTACAACTCTTACTAACACTCAACCCTAAAAAGAGCCAAACCCACCGTTTGTACAATAAACTGTAAACTACAATTAAGAACAAAAACAAGACAAATAGTTCTACACGATAAAACCTTCTTACTCAAGAATGTTTTAAACGTAGTAAACCTATCAACGTTGAAGACTTCAATTTGATGAATAATTCTCCCTTGTTCTCTGCGTGAAGTCGTGCCTTTCTTCCTCTGCCTCGTGCTCTTCTTATAGAGTTTATTTTGCCTTGTACAATCCTTATCTGATAAGGTAAGGAAGTTATTGTTGAACAAGGATTCCTTTTTTAAAGTACAATCCTTATTATATACAACTTCCTTCCTTAATAATATATTTAAGGTTTTCCTTATTTGTATCAACTTGTACCTTTAATATATTATTTTTGGCTTTGTACAAATAACTCTGTTTTACTCGATCTTGGACTCTAGCTTGGCTTCTTTTGCTGCGTATATTTGCTACTGTTCTTTGCGCTTCTTGTCTATCATCAAAACATGAATTATCGATTCTATCATATTCTATCATATTCCCCCTTTTTTATGAAGACAAACAAATCTTTTTGTGTGGTGCATGCAAATACTCTTCAAATACTCTTCCCCCTTTTGACAAATCAAAAAGAGTCCAACAGCGGCTGATCAAAACCAAATATCATCCATAGCAACAATTGAAGCTCAGCCAGTTGAGCATAACACATAGTTTAAACAACTAAGCGAACCAGGTTCACACAAGATGCTTTTTCAATTTGAAGGTTGTCCAGGCTTGGTTGAGCAGAAGCCAGCATATCCAGAACTCTCTCAACTCTTGGATTGTTAGCAAGTTGCTGCTGCACTAACTGATCCTTCAACCTGTAAATTTCAGCATTTGAAGTGTGGAGTTCAGCACGTAACTTCTGGTTTTCCGACTCAAGAGTTGCATATTTTTCTTCAGCTACTTTGAGTTCCCTGAGTAACTGAGCAACAGGACCAGATGTACGTGGAGAAGCATTTGCAACCTGCTCCAACTCCATAGGAATTCCACACTCAGCAAGAATGGTTTGACTGAACATATCAGCATGAGTTAAAATCCTGCCTTCTCCCAATGGTACTTCAAATGCATCAAACACTTCCAAAAACTTCAATTCTTTGTCATCCATCAAAACTATAAACTTCATGTTTTCTCATTCCCCAAGAATTTTCCCCTTTTTTGATAATGACAAACTATGCATATGTCTATCCACATTATATAATTTCCCCTTTTTGGCATCATTGAAAATCAATAACCAAAGAACTCGAATAACATTCAATGAGTGCAATATCATTTTTAACTCATAGCCACTTGGGCAACACTTTCAAGTACACTTCTGCTAACAAAATGGCTAGTTAATCTGAGGATATTAGTCATCTTACACTCATACACAATTAAGATCTTCAATGAGAAACGAAATAAACAAATATGTACCAATTTATGCCCTTAATCAAAAACATATAATATCATGAGTATGAGACAGACATAAGCACATCAAAGAGTCAAAAGAGTATAAAATTTGAGGATAAGGATTGTGACAAAGATTACTAAAGTGAGGAAGAAAGAGATGTTTACTATCATTGATAATTTTTTCAGTATGCCCATTGTGCACCAGCTTCTTTATTCTGATCAGTTTTCTTAGAATGTGAAATTTCATCAAGAGAAGCATGAGATACATCATCACCTTTTTTTTAACTCTACTCCGTAACATTTTCATTCCTCCATGATTTTCTTCCTTTATTTTTTTGATAGCCTTTTTCTTGATGACAACTTTGAAGGAGTACCAACTACCAGTAAGAGATTCATCACATTTTGGTGCACAAAGAGATGTGTTTATCAATAATGATAGCAAGCAACAATTTATTTCTGTGAGAACTGTTCCCCCTGAGAGATAGACAAGTTCTACACTTGGAATGGATGGAATATCAATTTTAGAGTTTATGAACCTGGTTCAGATGTGGGTGGTAAAGCAAGGTTTCCCCTGAATTAAAGCATGAGTGACTTCAATACTGAGATTTTAGTCATTAGAGCAGTTTGGGATTGAATGATGCTTGTTGTCAAAGAGGGTTCTTGGTGATCTTTAAGAAAATTGAATTTTTTTATGATCGACCAGGTTCATTAGTGCTTATGTTTGACCCAAACTCAAGAAATTAATGCATTGAAAAAGGATGGTACATACCTGAGTATTACAGAGAAACCAGGTTCCCCTTTTTTTTGTGTTTCTTCATGATTTACTTAATGGTGTTAGCAAAGAGTAGAGATAACATCCGCAAACTTTCTAAGCATTGTTTGAGATGTGACTTGAGTGTGTACCTGTTACAGTACGAGGTTGAGTTAGCAGATATTCATTGTATAATTACTCAAGCGTAAGATTATTCTTTTACTAGCCAATTATTAAAGGAAATCATGATAATGCATCAACTTGTTTTGATAACACCATTCTTTGACTGATTTTTCTCAAGTTCTTCATATTCAAGGCCTTCACAAGAATGTCGCATCATCATATTCTTCCAGATCAAATGAATCTCAAGCTGATTCACAAAGAACCAACCCTTGTCAATTTTTAATATCTTCCAATGAACAACAAGGACCATGTTCACACAACAAAGTTCCCCCAAAGGTGTGCCATACTCTTACTGTCTCGATTGCTCTAATATTCCCCCAATCTCCAGAACCATAGATAAGTAGTAATTCATGTTGCAGGTGCATCAATGATTGTTATCTGTGAACCAGGTTCATATGCAGTGTTCCCTAGATTTGCATCATCAAATATGTTTGATATCATGTCACTTTCTTCAATTTTTTTTTATTTCTCTCATACTTTTCAAGGAATAAACTGCCTCCTTGAAAATCAAAGAGCGAGAGGAAATTTTCTACCATTTTTAGCACCATTTTGGAGCATGCACTATTCATGTACCAAGTTGGCCTTTTCCCTCTCACCTTCACCTGAAACACTAGTCAAAGATTAGTCTTGGGAACCCAGATTAGCTTGGGCCCCTTTATGTGAGTAAAAGGATGAATAAGATTTCTTCTAGCCCATAAAGGCAAATAAGAAAACCTTTTATTTGGAGCATTTTTATTTCGAACCAGATTCTTAGCCGTATCAGTCTTTTCCTTTTGGTGAACTTAACATTTTTCTGAAAAGCCTCAAATAAAGCTTTACATTGATTCTTTAAATGACCTGAGTTTCCATAACGAGTGCATAAACTTTTATACATGTGAATAGTGTGTGACACAGGATTATTCTGTTTTTCAAAACCTATCCCACTTCGACTAGTGGTTTGCCTTTCTTGAATCTGAGTTAAAATTTCAGAGGACCTTGTCCATCTAATATTTCTTTCCAGATCC